TCCTCCTCCTCCTCCTCCGCCTCCTCCTCCTCCTCCTCCTCCTCCTCCTCCTCCTCCTGCTCCTCCTTCTGGTACCTGACACCTGCCACGTGACACGTGATGGCCGCAAGGTTCGTCTGTGCGCAGCCTCCCCCCTTCCCCTCTCGGGCCTTCAAGAGGCCCCAAGAGACCCCCAAGAGGCCCAGAGGCCCCCAAGCGGCCCCCGAGAGGCGTCCACACTGCCTTCAAGATGCCCCCGAGAAGCCTCCCACGAGATCCCAACGAACGTGCAATAGAACTCATACCCCAAACCCAGGCACGGTGGCGGGATGGGCCGAAGGCCACCAGACAGTTGTGCACGACTTGGGTGATCAGTACGTGTTCATTAACTGTACGCACGTGGAGCTTCCTACAGAATACAAGCTTGGATGCAGCACCGTGCCCAAGCGAAGACAAACAATTCCAATCAACTAGGCTGAAGCTCAAGATCGATATTGCTCCCATGCTGATGACGGAGCTACCACTCAAGTTGAGGCCAGAACTACAATGAAGTTGAAGCAGGCGCCCCCTTGCCCAACCCATCCCAACACCGATGCAAACATACTTGACATGTCAAGGCCGCTTTTCTTCGCCCGCATCAGATGAGTCATCGCACAACTCGTCAGCGTTGCGGAACTGCTGCTGCAATGCGGTCGTGTCAGTCACCTCTATGCTGAACTTTGACAGAGTAAGCCATTGCTTGATTCTCGCCTGATGGCGCTGAGATATGCCATCCACGCGCAGGGTGCTGCTGTTAGAGTACCGGTGATAGCGAAAACCATTCAAACTGCCAATACGACTCTTGCTGACGAAAATCAAACTAAACTTCATGCGGCGCTTCAACGGCTCAACTATGACCGCACACACATGTGACAAATCAACTAACGGTGCGCAGCAATCATTCCGCGTCAACACACCAGCGTAACACTGATATCTCATCACGTTCCGAGGTGAGCGACTCCCCACAGTGAATTCGAAGAAAAGCGAGTTCACAATGATTCGGTGTGCGTCGACGTTGTCCAACTTCTGCATGAAGTCATTAAACTCATCCGCCGGCGCTCCACTGCACAAGATGTTGGACTCCAGCCTCGACTTGCCGATAAGAACGGGAGAATGCAGATGAAGACGGATGAGGGATCTGGCGCTGCGCGGGTCAACGAGCAAGTGCCTGATCTGTGAATACGGGATGTCCAGTGTGAAGGCGGAGCTCCTGTGGCAGACGTGCCCCCCCTGGAATAACAGAGCACCAGTGGGGGCCCTCCTGCAGATGCGGAAGCTGTAGTCGTAGGCTTGCCTCAGAATCACACCTCTCCCAATCCCGAGATGCTAAGCCACTAACTGGTCCGGATTCAATTCGGCTCGATTCAACCCCGACAAAACGTTTTTTCCGCCGATCGAGAGCCCATGTCGACTGCCCTGGTGCCGATCGACGCATGGATCATAATGGCACCTTTGCGGGAGATGACCCTGACCAGCTTTACACAGTTACAAGTAGGTCGGACATGTCCTCCTACAGGATGGTTCTGTAAGGAAAATGAAAGTTGACAGAATAATCAAACAGAGTCAAAAGATCATGAAAACTCGTCACCCGACGATTTGACGTCCCAAGACTCCCCACATGTTCCGATATCTTCTGGGCTTCCTTCTTCCCCCCCCCCACTTTCCATCTTTTCCCATGCTCTCCTGGAAGACGACGATTCGTTCTGTCCGTGTGCTTCTTTCCCTCCTCAGAATACAATGGAGACCCGTCCACAAGAAACCTTCCACAGGAAACCCAACCCTGAGACCCCAGGACGTCCATATCGATCGTTGGTGCGGGAACGTCACGCTCTCCATACAGCAAAACAATCGAAACCCAAGAAACCCAGGGCGCCCTGGAGGCAAGCAGGGTGCTTCTTGGCATGGGCCTCCACTGCAGGCTTAGATCGGACATGTCCTCCTACAAGCGGATTGTGGAGGAAAACGTAAGCATACTAAAAAAAACATGCTCAAGCATAGCCGAAGCATAATCGAAGAATCGTCCCCTGACTGGCATGGGCCTCCGTTGCGTTCCTCCCGTCGAGGGACCCGCCTGACCGAAAAAGCTACGCGGAGGGGGTCGCCACGACGGGGGGCCGCGCCAGGACCGCCGACGTCTCCAGAGGCTCGGCACCCCTCGCTGGGCGCGAGAGCCTGCCTGCAGCCGGAACCCCTTACGGCAGGAGATCGACCGCAGGAAACCTTCCACGAAGAGTCCAAACCTGAGAGCCCAGGACGTCCACTGCGTCACGCCTTCCGCACAGCAGAACCATCGAAGCCCAAGGAACCCAGGGCGCCCTGGAGGCAAGCAGGGTACTTCTTGGCATGGGTATCCGCTATACAGACAAGCTGCTGAGGGAATCAGCGTCCTGATCGAGATATCGAGATCTGATCGTGAGACCCGAAAACGATCATAGCTAGAACCCTTATAGAGAAGCTGCTGAAATAATCGGCGTCCTGATCGAAACCTGATCAGGCCTGGAGATTCGAAGACGATTGCAGCTAGAACCCTTGCAGACAAGCAAGCTGCTGAGGGACTCGGTGTCCTGACCGAAAAGCCTGACCGTCAGATCTGGCGATGCTGAGGCGCCTGCAGCTCCCACCTCCAGCGGGACGAGATGGCTGCCCCCTTCGGTGCAGAGAGCCTCGCGCACGCCGCGCCCCGCCGCGTGGCGAGGGGGCCCCTGGGGGCCTCCGCCGCCCTCCCCGAGAGATCACTCCACTCGTGGGGCTCCGAAAACTCTCGACGTCCCCGCGTCCGCGTGGACCCGACGCCGCGGCGCCCCGTGAGAGGTAGAGGCCTCCCGAATAGGGTCGGAGCAAATGGGGTCGGAGGATCGCGCCGCATCGCCGACGCATCGGGGATGCATCGCCGATGCACTGGCGATGCATCGCCGACATCGGCAATGCATCGGCGACGCCGGCGTGGAGAACATCGGGCTACAAGGCGAGTCGCATCGTCGATGCAGCGGCGATGCGGCGCGATCATCCGACCCGATCTGCTCGGACCCTCTCTGGGAAGCCTAGAATTGGGTCGGACATGTCCCCCTACAGGCGCCTGGGAGCGTCTGGGAGCTCCTGGTAGCGCCTGGGAGCGCTTGGGGGCGTGCCGGGAGCGCCTGGGAGCGCCTGGGGGCGTTTGGGTGCGCCAAGGAGCGCCTGGAAGCGCCGGGGAGCGCCTGGGAGCGCTTGGGCACGCGCCGGGAGCGCCTGGGAGCGCCTGGGAACGCTTGGAGGCGCTTGGGAGAGCCTGGGAGCGCCTAGGAGCGCCCGGGAGCGCCAGGGACCGCCTAGGAGCGCCGGAAGCGCCTGGGAACGCTTTGGAGCGCCTGCATCGTCCCCCGACTTGTTTTACTACTTTTGAATATAGATTCCTCCTGTAGAGGGACAGGCCCGACTTAAGCTTCGAAGAGCGCGTCCCCCTGGAAGCCCAACCAACCCCGAGAGCGGCGGCGCGCCCATGGGGGCATGGGGGCAGGCCCCCTCAGAGAAAGCTCAGGAAAGGCCTCTGCCCTTCCGAGAATGGGCAAGCGCGCTCCACGGCTCGCAAAGTCACTGCTCGCAGATGGCCTGGATCCGCCGCGGGGGATTTGCGATACACGACATCGAGGCGAACGTGATTCTTTCTGGCGCGTGCGAGCAGGCACTTTGCGAGTGGTGGAGCGCGCTCGGGGAGAGAAGCTCTCGGCAAAGGTCTCCTCGGAAGCCCCGCCGCCTTCCGAGAGGCCCGCCCCCCCTCGCTGGAGGAAGAAAGAGTCGGCGGCGAGCGACGTGGGGGAGGTGACAAGCGGGGAGCGCCTTCTCCGGCGGGACCTCTCAGAAGCCCTCGCGCCTTCGGAGAGATGCTCTGCGTCTTCGGGGAAGGCCTAGGAGAATTCTCAGAAGGCCGAGGGGCCTTCCGAGCCTTCCGAGAAGGCCTGCCCCTTCTCACTTCCAGCCCTCGGTCGCCGTCGAACATAAACTCTCAGATGCCCGCACGGATTTCCCGGCTCGGCGCTGCCCGACCCCTCCTTGGCGCGCGGAGCGCGCCAGGGGCAGCGCCGGAGTCGGCGTCAGCAGGGCCCCAGCGCCGATCCGAGAAGTCTGCGAGGAGCTCTGCGACGAGCTCCGAAAGCTTATACCGTCTCTGTTCCTCGACTCTCACATCCCAGAGGGGCCCAGAGGGGCCTAGGGGGGGACACAAATAAATCAGCATACATTCCAGGAGCCCCAGTACTTTTACATACTTCCTGGAGGGCCATCTCCCCCTCCCTGTCCCACACTGCCGCATGTTCTCATGGAGATCAGCGTGCCTGTGTGTTTGTACGGATTGCTCCCTCCTGACTTCACCCCTCGGCCCGGCGCCGACCCAGACATGCGACGTCCTGATTTTTTCAGGACGTCGTCCCTGGAAGCCCCGTCCCCTTGCCCGGGGCCGGTTTGGCATCCTGAGTCGTTTTTTGAGGGCCCCGAGGCCCAGCGAGGGCCCCTATAGGGGCCGAAATTTCCGGAAAACCTCCGTCCTGATTTTGTCAATGCGTTGGATCTCTGGGTCCGCGCGCCGCCGAGATCGGGCCAGCCGCACTGCAAATGGATCCTGGGCAAGAGGTGACCGCTGATGCGCGGCCCACCGGTGACCCTATAGGCAGGACCCCGGAGGGCCCGCAGCAAAGGTCACTGCGGGTCCAGACCCCCGACGTCGTGATTTCTTCACAACCACAGACATGATCGCGTCGTAAAAAAATCAAGACGGGATTTTTTTTTCGCGGATTTCCACCCCTAGGGGCCCTCGCCGGGCCCTGGGACGGACAAAAAACAACTCAGGATGAGAAACTGGTCCTGGCAAAAGGGTCTGGACGTCCGAGGACGCCGTCCTGAAAAAATCAGGACGTAGCATGTCTGAGTTCACAACGTCGACCCCCAGAGGTCTGGACCCCTTCCCCAGCACCGGCGCTCCATCCCGAGTCGCCTCTTGACGGCCCCAGGGCCCGGCGAGGGCCCCCAGGGGGCCGAAAACGAGGAAAAGCCTCCCGCCGCGAACTCCCACCTCACGCGAGGAAGCCTTTCGGGAGCGGCCAAGAGGGGGGTGTCCAAGAGGGGGGGGTGCAAATCATGACCGGCGGCATGTGCGCGGCCCAGCGGGGGGGCCAGGGACGTAATGAAACAAGAAGAGGCGCCATGAGATCTGCGGAGATATCCCGCCATGATATCCACCCCCCCCTGGTCATCACCCCCCTCCTTGCCGCCCCCGAGAAGGCCTCCCGCCGCGAACTCCTCCCACCTCACGCGAGGAAGCCCCGGGGGAGGGCCCGCACTCGCGAGGCCCCCGCGGGCATATAAGGGCCACCCCGCAAAGGGAGCCGCGGCGGCGCCCGCGAGGCTCTCGGCGCCCGGGGAGCCTGCGGCAGCACGGCCGCCACCCCGAGGCGCGCCAGCGGCCCGGGCGCCGCGGCGCCCGGCGGCCCCACGCCGCGCGCGCCGGGGCCGGCCTCGGCCCTGGCGGCCGCGGAGGCGGCCAGCCCACGGGGCGTGCCTCGAGGAACAAAAACCCCGCCCTCCTCCTCCTCCTCCTCCTCCTCCTCCTCCCTCCTCCTCTCCTCCTCCTCCCCCTCCTCCTCCTCCTCCTCCTCCTCCTCCTCCTCCTCCTCCTCCTCCTCCTCCTCCCTCCTCCTCCTCCTCCTCCTCCTCCTCCTCCTCCTCCTCCTCCTCGTCCATCCCTAGACACGATCGCGACGCAGGGAAAAAATCAGGACGGGAGGCTTTTGGCCAAACTCGGTCTCGCGGGGGGCCCTCGCCGGGCCCCGGGACCGTCAAAAAACGACTCGGGATGAAAAACCGGCCCCGGGGAAGGGGTCCGGACTTCCAGGGACCCCGTCCTGAACAAAACTCAGGACGTCGCATGTCTGGGTATCAGAAGGATGCGAGGTAAGGTCAGGGCAGGGCGTGTCCTCCTGCAGGCGGAGTTTGGACGACAAGTAAAAAACTCGAAACATATGCAACATAATCAAAACACCGTCCCCTGACTGTTTCAAATACTATGTTTGAATATTCTTCCTGTAGAGGCACATGCCCGACTTAGCGGTAAGGATGCAAGGGCCTTGGAGGGGCATGTGAATACTTGGTCGAACGAGGTTGACCAGCGAAAGTTACCAGGGATGGGCCGAAGGGGCAAGGATGCAAGGGTACACACACACACACATATATATATATATATATATATATATACCCTTGGGAAGGCTGGCCACCCCTATGGTGCGGGTTGACTGTACAGCCATCATGCTGCCGCAAGGTTTATGGGGAAAATCCTGGAGGCCTCGCGCAGCAACTTGAGACCCAAATTACGTCGGAGCCACGTCGGATTTATGTCGGGTTCACGCCGGCGTTACGTCGGATTCGGGTCGGATTTAAATCCGAGCATCGAATTTACATCCGAGCATCGCCGCGCGAACTAGATGATAAAACCATTGGGTGCCGCACGAGGTCTCCAGGATTTTCCTCATAACACGGAGCGCACATTGTGAAACAAAGGGGCGTTTCTGGCCATGGCGGGCCTGGGCCCCAAGCAGGTTCACACGACGTGGAACGGGCCGGAAGCCCGAGCCCCTCATAAGCCCCAAAACGGTCCTGCAGGGCCTGGACCGCAAACGTAAACTTTCGACGGTCCGCGCGGACTTCTTGGATCGGCGCGCGGAGTGCGCCAGGGGCAGCGCGGGCCAGGGGCGGCGCCGGAGGCGCCGCCAGGTGGGCTGCGGATCCAGAAAATCCAAGACGAGCTTCGAGAGTTCATGTTCATGTCATTTGGGCGACGAATATAAGAAATGGGCTCACGCGAGATGGCATAGAACTTACGCCGCGGCTTACGCGGGCCGCCAAGCGGCGCGCCACATTGGGAACGAGGGCGCTCACGCGCGACCCCACGCGGGCAGCTAACGTGCCAATGTCTGCGCAATCGGCCCCGTTTATTGTTGCGTCGCCCATTTGTTGCCCCTCGATCGGCTAAACGCAAGAATGACCCTAGGCAAGAGTGACCTTGGGTGCTCGGCTTTACGGCACCGCGGGAAGCCGTATCTAAGCGCGGAAATCAATGCAGGAGGGACTCATGTGGGCCACCACTACAGGTCACTCCGGCGAAAGGTCACTCTTACGTGTAGCCGACGCGAGCCGTCCGTGCGGCACGCCACATTGGAAACGAGGGCGCTTACGCGGGCAGCTTACGCGCGAATGTCGGCACTGCCGACCCCACATCTCTTGAGCATCGTTGAACCGACCCCTATTCCCATGGGCGCGGCCTCGGCCCCACTCGCCGATTTACCCTCCGAGATGTGGATTATAGGCCGTTCCCCACGGGTTTCGGGGGGCCTATCCCCAAGGGGGTGGTAGGATGGCGGGGGATCGTGATGGGGACAGGGATGGGGACAGGGATCGGTCGATACTGAGCAGTCGACCCCGCTTTTCTTCCGTCGCCCACTTTGGCAAGGCTTCTTAGAAGGAGGCTGCTTCTCAGAAGGCGCTAGCCTTACATCCGTAGGCAAGGCCCGCGCCTTCTCAGAAGCAGGGGGATTTCTAAGGAGCCTTGCCCCCTCCCCCTACCCCCTAACCCCCATCTGCTCTCCGTCGCCCACTTGTCCCCGAGTTCTCGAGAAGGGGATCGACTAGTTACAGAATTGATTTACCCAAAAACGGATTGTCTCGCCGAACCTCCGAAAAATACGTAGAATGCTCTGTGGATCAACGGAGCTTTGTACGTATTGCTCGTAGACAAATCGGACGGGGCTGGGACGAAAATAATAAATCCTTCAAGAGCGTTCAGGAACGCGTTCGGAGACTCCTGGAACGCTCCGAGAAGGCCGCGGTGCCCGAGACATCCTCCAGAGCCGCCGGACCTCAGAGATTCTCGACACCCAATGTTATTATCGTCCTGATTCC